TTGTGCTCCTCATCCAAATACACCAAGGGAATGTCAAAAATTAAATTACAATATCTAGCTGGAACAATGGCTACACCTTATCCAAAGCAGGAACAATTTGAAAACAAATGAAAAATAGTATTTGATTATAACCTGAAGTGTAGAATAAGTACCCATCAATATATATTATTAATAAAAAATAATTTAATTAATAAATGAATGAAACATTTGAAAAATTTCTCACGTAGAAGGATCCCAAACAATTTACATAAACAATCTGCCCACAGGGGAGTGGATCGTAACTCATCATTGGTTAAGTGTAGCTGAACATAATGCCTTTTGTCAAAGAGCTGATTATGGAAAGATGGGAATAAAGAGTCACTTTATAGCCAAGTAACCTGACAAACTCTAATCTACTGTAAACATTCACAGTGACAACTCATGTTGATAGCATGCATGTGACATGGGATGAATATTGTACTTTACCTTTGCTGTCTTCCTCCCATAAACTCCTAACTTTAGTCTAATCATGAGAAAAAGAAGTATCAAGAAAATCTCAATTAAAGAATATTACACCTGACAAGCAGTCTTCAAATCTGTCAAAGTCATCTTAATTAAGAAAAGTATGAAAACTCTGACAAATTGAGCCTACAAAAACATGACAATAAAATGTAAGATAAAAATCTGGGCAAGATTCTAAAACAGAAATGGACACTAGGTAATAAGAAAACAAAAATCATAGATATCATAATGTATTACTATTGACTCAGTAATTGTATAAAATACAAGATTATAAAATGTTAATAATAAGAGAAGGTGAGTATAGGGACATGGATACTTTTTGTGCTATCTTTATAATATCTCTGTAACTCTAAAACAGGTCTAAAATATTATGTTACAAAAATAACATGTTTGGGGAAATACCACGTGGTATTTCCAAATTAAATAAAAATGTTAACATTTTTCATTTACATTTATGCTGTACAGATATAAAATTTTCCTTGATTTGTGTTATCTTGGTTTTTAAGAAACGTTTAAGTGATTATATGACTTAAAAATATTATTTTAAGCTTATGTAAGAAATTCAATTAACCTATTATCTAAGGAAGAATTCCATTGATTTATTATTCTCATCCAGAAAAGGCAGTTCATATTTATAACCATTAAATTTCTCATGGGTAAAATTAAGATATTAATTGCTTTACCCTAAGGTTGCAGAGAGATTTAATGATACAATGGATATTAAAAGACTTTTAGAAAATTAGAAGGTCTATGTAATTTGTAAATATAATTTCTCCCTTCAGATTCTTAACACTGATATATTTACTATTTATTATTATCATGACTGTTACTAAATGTTTACTCTCTTTATGAATATAATTTAAGAATTTAATATTTGTGTAATGCAGAGTGCTCAATGATCAAAAAATCTATAATATATTATACTAATAAAACAACTTTATTATGAAAATGGTGGCTTCTAGAATACCAGTCTTCTGGATACTCTTATCAAAGTTTTTCCTGCTTTTTGTATATATTTCAAAATGATAAATAAAATAAATCCTTAGGAGTATGTTTTCTTCCTTGCCTCTCCACTTATTTATCGATGTTGATAGATTTATTAGACTGTATCATTGTATGACTCTAATATAGGTTCTACTCCTTTGAATCTCATGTACTATACCTGCTTAGTTATCTACAAAGCATTTAGATTTCTGTGTTCTAAAATAAAGCTCTAATTCCATTTACAAGGACCTTTGAATTCTCAGCTTAGTAACTGGTATGAAAACTTACCCATTTATTCCTCCTCAAATCTACCAGTTCTTAGTCATCGCTTGCCTTTAAAGCTCATGTTCAGTATTGCCGAATTCTTGCCTATAATCTTTACCTTCAACAAATTTCAAATTTGATTACTTTTCAGCTTCATTCCTTATATATTTTTAAATTTATTTTATAGATTCAATCACTATACATCACTACAGCTTATAAAATGAATTTGTCCAACATGAACACACTTCTAGTCAGATATTATACACATTATCACCAATAGACAATCCTCCATTTATGTGTCTCTCAAATGTCTTGCCTATTTTTCTCCTTGATTCCTTTTGTCTCACTCCCCATCACCCCCACCTCCAAGCCTCTTCCCATACTATGTCAAGTATCCATAACACTTTTCCCTGCTTTTATATTCTCTGATTTTTCAGTTTCTGCCCTAGAGTGTGGACAGTTGGTACATATTAAGTGTAGACATACGATATCTCTCTTTCATAGCCTAACTTTCTTCACACAACAGTAAATCTGCCATATTCATTCACTTTCTATAAAATTCCAGGGCTTGTTTGTTATGGCCCAGGAGCATCAGCAGTTTCATTATTAACATTATATTTCAAGCCGTCTCTACATGCCATCTACATCATCCCTGCTTATTCTCTTTATTTTCTGTACCCTACATTAGCAACCAGTGCAGTCATACAATATGATACCTTGCTGAAACCATCAACATTTTTTCAAAGTAAAATTTAAAATCTCACTCATAGCCTACAAATCCTTACATAATCAAGCCTTATATTTATTTATTTATTTATTTATTTATTTATTTATTTATTTATTCGTTTATTTTAGAGAGATTTTTTTTCTACAGGGCATGCGTGTTCACCAGAGAGAGACAGAGATACAGAAGGCAATAAATCCCTTCCCCTACCCCGATGGGGGATGACTCCATCACAATCCCTTCTTCTCCATTCTCCTCCTGGGATTTTGGGCACACATGCACATGTTCCTGGCATGAGTTTCAAGCCACTGGGTCCCAGACTCAAACTGCAGTTTAATATATGGAAGTCCAGTGATGTAACCATTACACCCTCTGCTGATCCCCCTAATCAAGCCTTGATCTTTTTTGGTTTGTTTGTTTTCTGGATTATTTATCTATTTATTTTTAAAGTGAAAATCTTCCTTTTACCTCTTCTTCACAAGATACACTGATGATGCACTAAGAAAATACCAAACTCATTTTTGCCACAGAATTTTGTCTTTTACTGATTGACCTAACTGGTGGAACTAACTCACCAAAATGTTTAAGGACTCTTTTTCTTATTTACGTGTCTTTTCAGAGAGCCTTCCTATTCTTCCTATATAACATGACATCCAGCTCCTGCATATTTTATTTCCTCTTTATATTCACTTTTATTATGAAAATAAATGCCACAAATTTATGTTAGGTCAGAAGCTCTTTAAAATTTGCACATAAGATGAAATTGAGAAGCACAGAGCCCAAGACAATGACATAACTCTTTAGTGTCATATAATATAGTAACATAGCACATCAAAATAGAATGTATGTGTACTATATTAAATGGTTTTAAAAGATAAATGATATGAATATGCAAAGGTAGATTGATAACTTGAGCAAGTTATAAGATCTCTCTTTTTTTTGTGATAACAATGCCATGAGATCTACTCAAAATTTTTTGACATCTACAATACATTATTGTTGACTATACATACAATGTTGTATAGCAGATCTCTAGAGTGATTGAAATTTTGCTCCCTTCATGCCATTGGTTTTGGCAATGATTTCACAGATATAACACCAAAAATACTTCTCATTCTCCCCTCTCTCCATTAGTAACTCATTCCCACCTGCATCCAGTACTCAGGTAACTATCATTTCACTCTCCAAGTCTATAAAATTGACTATTTTAGATATCTCATAGAAGTGGAGTCATACAGTTTCTGTCTTTCTGTAACATTTCACTTTAATATGTCATCAAGGCTCATCCATGTTATTGTACATTGTGAAACTGGTTTCTTTTTAAAGACTCACTAGTCTTCCAATATATGCATATATCACATTTTCTTTATTTATATTTCAAAGGACTTACTGATTTTTTCTACATCTTGGTAATTGAAAACTGTACTGCAATGAATATGGGATAGCAGGTAGCTTTTTGAGATAGTAATATTAATTCCTTTGGATATAAATCGATAGCTGGATCGTATGGTAGGTATAGTTTTTTCTAATTTGCCAGAAGGTGTGCTTGCTGAAAAAACTGAGAGAGGGAGCTAAAGACAGAGAGAGAAAGAGAAGGAAATTGAGAGAGCATTCCTACCATGGGACAATCCTTTCCTCTTCATTTTTCCCTTTGTCTGAGGGGATTTTGTCAATGTATGCAACATGCCTGGCATGCCTCAGAAACCAGCAGACTTGGGACTAGAACTGTAAAGCTGGCCATTTGTGATCCAACCACTTAACTTCCATGTCACTGGCTGGGCTGGTAGTTGCATTGATTGATTGATTGATTGATTGATTGATTGGAGAACTTCAGTGATGTTTTTAATAGTGGCTGCATTCTAAATTCCTACCAACACATCCTTCCTAAGACATACAGGTTTTTGGTTTTGGTTTTGGTAATAGATATTTGGACAAACGTTGAGGTGATATTTCATTATGGTTTTGATTTTCAGTTCTCTGATGGCTAGTGTCTTAGTTCCTTGTGTTTAGAATAATAGAAATAACCAAGTCTGGGTGATTTATGAAGAACAGGGGTATATTTAGTTCATAGTTTTGGAGGTCCAAAGTCAAAGGGCCATAACTGGCGAGGATCTTCTTGTTAGTTGGGACAGAGTTCTGAGATGGCACAATGCATGGTGAAAATGTTAGAGCTGTGTGTCTGTGTTCATTATTCATGTGTCTATCTTCCTATAAAGCTGCCAGGGGTCAATTAAGCTGATGACTTTAGCTAATCTTTATCCCTCTGTAAAGGCTCCATCTCTCACCTGGTAATGGGATTAGGTTTCCACCTTCTCAGTGCAGGTAGAATTACCAACTAAATTTCAACACATGAACTTTTTGGGAGACCGTTGAAACCAGTAATTAGGAACAGAAGTTTTTTTTTTTTTTTTTCTTTATACTTGTTTTTCATTTATATGTTTATTTTGGAGAAATTAATGTTCAAACTTGCATTGATTTTCAATAAGGTAATTTTTAGTTTTACTGTTGAGTTGTAAGAGTTCCTTATATACTTACCTGGCAGGGGAGATACCATGATCACAAAGGTGGTTTTCCCAGGGCGAGGTTTATCCATTGCACTCCGGATGTGCTGACCCCTGCGATTTCCCCAAATGTGGGAAACTCGACTGCATAATTTGTGGTAGTGGTAGTGGGGGACTGCGTTTGCGCTTTCCCCTGTTAAAAAAAAAAAAAAAAAAAAAAAAAAAAGAGTTCCTTATATAGAGATATTTTGGAACTAAATTCATATCAGATATTTTTGTTTGGAAATATATGTTTTTATTTAGTAGATTGCTTTGTCTGTTGATTGTTTCTTTTGCTATGCAGAAACATTTTAGCTTGATACAGAGTCAGCCTTGCTTATTATTGGCTTTGTTACCTGTGCCTTTGGTGTCATATTCATGAAGTCATTATTAAAACCAATGTCATGGTCATTTCACCCAAAGGTTTCTTCTAGATTTGTAGCATTGGGTCTTATATTAACATTTTAATCTATTTTGAGTGAATTTCTCTTACTTATTTTCTTATTCAACTGGTTTAGGAAGAGTTGCATTCATAAAATTCATCTGCTAAAAGCATATCTTAATAATTTAATAAGTTATGTATACTGAGAAAATCACCACTGCGGTTAAGATACCAAACATTTCCATCATCTTGAAATATTTCATATGTCTTTTGTAGTATCTTTTAGTGTCCCTAGTTCCATATTTATTTCATAAAAATTTAATTAGTTTGCATTTTTTTGTTTTAATTTTTTTTAAAATTTCTATAGTGTGCATGTACTTGCTAGAGAAATGAACAGACAGAAGAAAAGTAAGAAAGCACCACCTAACAAGATGGCCATGGCACAATCCCTTCACCTCCACTATCTTCTTATAATTTTAAGCAAATATGCACATGCTCCCAATATCTCTTTTAAGCTGACAGATCTGGGACCTGAACCACATAGTCAGCCATGTGGGATTCAACCACCACACCACTGGCTGACCCTAGTTTGCATTTAAAATGGAATCATTTCATGCGTACTTTATTGTGCTTATCTATTTTTTTTTTTTAGAATTATTTATTCTACTTAACTTTATTTATTTATTTATTTATTTATTTATTTATTTATTTGATGAGAGAGAGAGCCACCAGGTCTACAACTCAAACCATATTTGGCCATGTGGGAGTCTAGTGGTCTCAACCACTACTCCACTTGCTGGACCCATTTGCTTGTCTATTTTAACTCACTTAAATTAATTTGGTATTAACCTATGTTGTTATAAGTATCAGTAGTTTATTTATATCTCTTGCAATAGAGCATTCCATTTTAAAGGACATACATTATTCATTCTTTTACCTGTTGATGAACATTTGAGTCACTTTCAGGTTTTGGGGGGAAAATAAAAATCCTGTGGATATTTCAGTGCAAATCTTGGGATGAATATATATATATTTTTCTATTCCAGAACATGTAGAGATATAACTAAACAAATGCCTTACAAAGTTGTACTATTTACATTCCCATTTGTATATATGAGAGTTGCAGTTGCTTTATGTCTTCACGTACCTTGAATAATATCAATCTTTTTAATTTTAGCAATCCTAGTGCGTATGTAATGATGAGTTATGTTTAAGCTACCACTTCTCATATTTAACTTCTTTTGTACTAATAATATCTAGTAATGTTGATGATATTTTTAGTGTTTACTCTATTTTTGTTGTTCTTAAGTCTTTTAAAAATCTTATTAATTTATTGTTATTTGTACTCTCATTATTGTATTATACTGTATACATACATTATACAAGGTAGTGATGAGCAGAGGTATTGGTTGCTAATATAACATCTACTACCATTTTCCATTTCTAATAGAATTATCCAGAGAATAAGTTTTCACTATTTTATCTATTTATTTATTCCATGAGTTAGAAAGGCAGTGAGAGAAAGAGAAACAGCACTCCCAATAGGGTCTGAAGGCTGCAAATTATTCCCAGCCTCTTCCAGTTCAGATCATAAGCACACACATGAACTCTGCATCTACAAGGTGTCCTGGGGTAGCCCACCTAGGACCCTCCTGTGATTGTCCAGTTGTGTTACTATGATGCTGAGGTCTGTCCACCAGAAATATATTGATTGTTTTACTGTTCTGTAAGTTTTATATTTTTAGGTACAATATTTGTAATATTTATAGAATACTTTTTAATATTTCCCCATAGAGTTACCCAGTTTTTCCAGTAAATATTCTCTAAAGATTTTTGTTCTCTCATTATCTTGGTTTGAAAATTTCATGAAAATCAGTTGATCATTAAGTGTGCAGTTCTACTTCTGGGAACTTTATCCTGTTCCATTCATGTAAATGTAAATAATTTCACCATTACCACACTGTCTTAATTATTCTCTAACTGTAATAATCCTAGACACCGTGTAGATTCAGTCCTCCTCTATCAGATAACTTTTAGAATTTCACATTTTTTGTAATAGTTTACTGTCAAGATGCGTATGGAATTAGATGCACATGCTTGTTCACTTTTGTCATACTAGATTTTTTTTTCATTTCTAATGTGAGGACATTGTTATATAATGTCTTTCAGACAGGCTGATGATCAAAACAACTTCCATCCCATTCACAATCTGTGGCCTCTATTCTACCTTTAGTTGCCTGGTCTTGGGTAGTGCCATTACATGACCCCACATCTATAGCCTCAGCCACAATCCAATAGTCTCTGTAAAACTATAGTTCAGTTGATTTTGGCACAGTATGTTCTATGATAAACATTCCTGCCTGAAGTTCAGCCCATCACATGGGTTAGTTTGTTCTGTGGGGAACCTGTATTTGTAATCATTATATCATAACTCTCCTGGAATTGTCCTCTTCTCCAACATTCAGTCTGATCGGTAAACTGGGCCTTTTATTTCAGACAGTAAATCATATAAACAAGCTTTGATAAATTGATCTGCAAGCCCAGTCCAGCCACCATATTTTTAAAGTAATGATTTACTTGATTACAGTCATACTCACTCATTTATGAATTTTCTATGGCTGTTTTCTTGCTACAGGACTAAGTTGAATTATTAGAATAGACATCACGTGGCTTAAAAAGCTTAAAATATTTACTGCCAACATCTTCACAGGGGGGAAAAATGGCATCAGGAAGACACACTTCTATACCCAAAGAATAATCCTGTTTTTGTATTGAGCTGAGACCTCTGAAGCCAGTCTAGACTTATGACTGAAAAAGTTTTGTTCATTTTATTGTAGAACTTTCTGAAGTTTATTGTATCTTGTAAGATCTTAGTGCAGAAAGAACTCTTGTAATATAGAGATGTCTGATCAAATAATTTATTTCTACTCTGGTCCTATAACAATCCAGTAGTTTTCTTTCAAAATGCATATATTCAATGACTGGTCTGAAACCAAAAGTCTAGAAAATCCCAGGAGACTTTCATTGCCAGAGACTCCAGTGAGATTTAAGAGCAGCAGATTCTTGTGCTAAAATATATGACAGTGATAGGAATAGAAAGGTAAAAACCTGCTTTACAGTTTCTTGGGTCGGGGCTTATTTTGTGAATCCGACTATTCACTTTTTGTATCATGCCTAGTTAGATGCTTTAAGGAGTTTCATAAGTTTCTAAATGTGCACTGTATAGTTATTGATTTTATAGAAGGTTATTAAGTATTGTAAGAAAATATCGAGATGTGGTCTTAACCATCTCAAAATTAATAGCTTGCTTTTTTGTTTTGTAGTTTTGCCAGAAGGCATACACAATCTCCATAGAGAGTGAGAGCAAGCGAGAGAGAGAGAGAGAGAAAGAGAGAGATTTCAGCATGTATGCACGTGCATCCAGTGTGTTTTTCAAGTCACCATATTTGGGGCCCAAACCACACAGTTGGCCATGTAGAGTCCAGTTCCCTTAGCCCCTAAACCACTGACTGGTCCACAGCTTGTGTTTATTAATGGGAAGCCTTAGAGAGTTCTTAAATAGAGCTGAAAATTGAAAGGAAGAATGACAGTATTCCAGAAATATCCAAGATCATTAAAAGCAATGGAGTTTTAGGTTTGGGAGTTGTTTCCTCGATTAAGTATGTTAATTAGGTGATTAATAACTGAATTCCTACAAATCTTATCCCTTTTACTTATTATTAAATGTCTTACTTAGATTATATATTGGTCAACCGCTCTCGTATGTTCTTTGACCTTTATTATTTGGAGTCTATAGTTTTTAATGCCCATAGCAATCCATGTATAATTCTGATGAAAAACACTGAATTGATAGTAAAACATAACCTTTGTAACTACAAAATAATTTTTGTAACTGTTTTGCCAAAGATTCAAAATTATTATATGTAGGTTAGTTATTAATTTATTGCCTCTAAATGCCCATTGTACCTTTCAATGTATGCTCTAGAATAAACAATAAAATCCTTTTAAATGTTTCTCATTTAATTTGAGCACAGTGTTAAACTTTCTCAATAGAGGACCCTTTAGGGACATTACACTAGTATGATCTACATTTTTGATATTGGGTAAGGTAGGCGAATGATGTGAGTGTGAACATATCTATAAAAACCTGGCCACTGACCCAGAATACAGTCTTCTGCCACCTAGCAGCCCAGTATTAGACTAGCAATTGACTTTTCTCTGCTACCTTGACACAGAAACCAGAAGCTACAGGCTGTCAAGACTCCCTCATCAAGCTCCTACATGGCTTAAACTTCAGAAGGTTGTCTGTTATTTCCCCAGGAGCTTCAGAGTTATTCTCGTCTGACTAAACCTGCCAAATTCTCTGCTATCCAGTGGCTAACAACACAATTCCATCAGTGGGAGATCAATCCCTTCCAAGTTTGTCCTTCCTTGAGTATTCTTCCTGTGCTCCAGAATAATGATATATACAATGTCTTTAAATTTTATAGTTTTTAAAATCATAGTTGTTAATTATTCATAATAAATTTTACCATGTTTAAACTACTGTATGATATGTATCTCCTGATTTGTTTGAGATTACTGCAGAATTTATATGAGTTGTCCCAGGAAGATAACCCAAAAGAAGGAATTTAAGGATGAGTTTGGTGTTGCCTTTTGGTGTGACCAAAATGCTGATTTCCTTGTCAATCAGAAATGGGACCCTAGTAAACCATGGCATGCAGCGGCATCACAATCAAGCAAAGCTATCACCTTTGTTTGATTATGATAATGCA